AGCAGTTAAATGAGCAATCAGTAAAAATCCATTCATTCAGAGGCACTGAAAACTTTAAAAGCAAACTTGAATCATCGTCATCATGTGCTGTCAAGTCAATTCTGACTTAATGGAGACTCCAAGGTTTTCTAGATGTACAGTACAGGGTCCTCAGAAGTGGGTTCCCCCTTCCCTTCTTCCGGGGGTGCCCTGGGGCTGAGCAGCTTGCCCAAGGCCACACAGGATGGCTCTTCTCCCAAAGAGAAACAAAGCTGTGGGACCTGGCGCATCCACTGGTGGCAAAAGTACAAATGGGAGATTGAGCCTCAAGATATATAAAAAATGCCAATGCAAATGTTATTATCTAAAAAGCTAAGGCTTGACGCGTTCCGGCTGTGGCCTTCTTCAAGCACTAAGCATAAAATAAAAATATGAATATAGATATATTTAGAAACAACTGGCTTGGGATAGTTTTTAATACATCTTGAGAATCAATCTCCCATTTGTTCTCTTCTCCCAAGAGGCACAGTGGGAAATCGAACCCCCAACCGTACCTAAACACTGAGCTATCCAGTCAGCTTAAAGCAGAAGAAGAAACTTCCCTGAAAAACTAGAATGAAACAGCATTCATAGAAAAAGTCCAGGGCTTAGACAATTTACTTTATGAACTATTAGAACCAAACCTAAACTAACGTACTGTATAATGTTTACGTATACACACACACATATGCATATATAAATTATACAGTATGTATAAAACCATTATATATAAAAGGTTTGTCTAAATTGCACTGCACGAAGTTCTAAATGATGGCACTCAAATGAGATAACGGGATAATCTGGAGTGGGGTTTTTTCACGTGGGTTGTTCATTACGTTAGGTGATGGCAATTGAAACAAATTCATGTCCTCAGGATGATTTAGCTCTCTTGAGTGTACGCCTTTTGTACCAAACTGCGACTGGTGGATGTGGGATGTCTACTCTGAAAGAACAAGAAGCCAGAGGTAAACCCCGTGAGGCGGGGACCTGCACATCAAAGGGTTGTTCGTGAAAGAGACAATCTGAAATATTAGAATAGGCTAATTTTTTGGAAACGCAGCTACAAAAGGGTACACAGAAAATACTCCCCGGATAAGTGAAATTGGGTATTAATTAACAGATGACACACACACACACACACTTAGTGTATACATTGCGAGAAAACACGGTTGAGCTGATCCGGCGACAGGTGCAGGCAAGGCGAAGATGTTCTCCTGTGGTTTGTCCAAACCGGGGTTGTGGCCAGGCTGTGTGCACGGAAGGTTTTTAAACTCTGGAGCTCATTTTTGCATACCGACCCGGGAATGAGCAAGGCCCTCTGGTGATAGGTTTAGGAATGGGTAAACGGTCCTGTGAACCCAAAGACTGTCCCTGCCTTCTGTAGAGCCAAGCAGCTCACAGTTGGTTGCCCTCCTGTTGTTTTGGTCTTACAGTTCCCACCAGCTTTATTCAATCTGACAGCACTGTGGAGATTATGAAGCCAAAAAAAAATATTTTTTTTTACCTAACCTAGCTGCAGCCTAATCTAGTAAAGCTTTTTAAAAAAATCAGCCTTCACTTAAAATGAACACAAAATCATGCTCCTAGTCCTCATGACTGCAAACATATCTGAAAGTGTGCGGAGACTATAAAGTGCCCAGTCTAGAAGGGACAGTTGAACAGCACCGCCAGGATTCATTCTAAGCCGGTGCACTCTCCAGTGGGCACATACCGTGAACCCCGAATCCAGAACTAGCCCTGGAGCTGATGCCATCCACCTCAGAGACTGTCACAGCTGGCCCGGATGGGCGAGGAGCAGCTGAGCAGGGGACTGGCCACCCTACGGGCAGATAGACCCTTACTGAGGAAAGCCTGTCCACTCAGGCTGGGGACACCACTCGGCCCCCATTGTGGATTGTGAGCAGTGCAGACCCAGTGGCATTAACTGGGATCTGTGGAGATGGACTGTGAGGAGGTTGGGGTGGGAAGGGGCCGGACCGGGGGGGGGATCCGGGACCACACCAGGGCATTCTGAGAGGGACAATCCCACAAGGGAGATGAGAGCGCTGCTGGCAGATCCGGAAAAACTGGGCTTCCAGGTTGTAGAGGGCTAGAATCGGAAGGTACATCTGAATGCAAACTCCTGTTATTTCATCCTTTCAGATCCATACAGGAGCTGAAACGATACCACCTCACCTCAGAATGTGCAGGTTTCTGCTTACCTACGTGCATTTATTGGTAGAAAACGATGCCAAAACCTCAAAGCAGGTCACACAAATCTTTTAATTCCAAAATGTGAGGATGAGTCAAACTGAACAGTGGAAAAAACAGGTAGTTTCATAGCAGCAGGAATCCCATGATCAGATCCGAGGGTTGAATCGAATGGGTGGTCCCAGCTGGACTTGATCCATTCAAAGAAGAGCCTATTAAGCCACTTCCCACATTTGTGTGCTTCCCGAGTATATAATGATGACGATGGAAAGTCCTCTGAGAGAATACGCAACACTCTGAACTAGTGCAATAATATATACATTTTATTTACCTCTCATTTACACTACAGCTTAATTGACACCTCCATTAATAGCAGGAAAATGACATGAAATTCACAAATGAAAGGGATTGTTATTATGGGGAAGGCAAAAACCCCATATCACTTATGGCAATGGTGAAATGTTGGTAAACTTCCTTCCCAGCCCCATCAACTGGCGGCTAACAGAGCTCCATAGCAAGGCCCCCCTTCCAATGAGGAAGGGGGGAAGGAAAGTCTTCTACCAGATATTTACAGCCTCCAGAGCAGC